CTGTCGGCCTTCTTCGTTTCAGTGTTCCCCCAGACTAGGAGCTTCTCTGTGCAAGGACCCCGGTCCAAAGGACACGCTCTGCTCCCGGCACTGCTTTCTTGATGGTATGAGGTCCCCAACTCTCTGCCTGCTTCCCTTTCCTTTTATCTCTTGAGAGATAAAAGGTGGTGCAGGCCACACCCCAGGGTAACTCCCTTTACACTGGATGTGACCTGGTTAAAGTGGTGTTACAATCCCACCCTAATCCTCTTTAACATAAAATTACAATCACAAAATGGAGACCAACCACACAATTCTGGGAATCATGGCCCAGCCAAATTGATACACACAGTTTTGGGGGGACATAATTCAAACCATAGCAAACGTATTACATTGAATCTGCTCCATCTGCCCTTGACATTATCTACAAGTCCTTAGTAACTACTAGAATACCATGAAAGAGAACGTAAACAGAGATGTATAGGTCCCCCATCCAACATGGAAACCAACAGCCCAATGTGGCTATTTAAATTTAAATTAATTAAAATTAAGTAAAATGGAAAAACATCAGTTCCTCAGTCACACTACTCATACTTCAAGTGCTCGATGGTCACGTGTGGCTATTGGCTACCATACTGGACAGAACAGATATAGAACATTTCTATCATTGCAGAAAGTCATTTCTATCTATGATGCCCTTTCCTCTCTATACTAAACATGACAGAAGCAGAATTTTTTTCTCTCCCTTCTTGACATCTTGGTCTTAGCAACAATTTCATATGTCTGCTAAGTTCAAAATCTAGGATTCCTTCTTGAATTTTTCCTCTATATTGTCTTTCCAAATATACCTACAAATCATGTTCCTCACACCCATCTTTTCTTCATTCTTACTGTACCAGCTCCATTCAGGCTGGTCGGATCTTTGCCTGGACAATTGCAATAGCCTCTTAAGTCTGTCCACTTCCCACATCTTTTCCATCTTTCCTGGACTACACAGTTCTATCTAATTGATTCCATGAAGTTGTCAAGGATTTCATTTTACTTGGATCCACAATCAACGTCCATGGACGCAGCAGTCAAGAAATCAAAAGACACATTGCAGTGGGCAAATCTGCTGCAAAAGACCTCTTTAAAGTGTTGAAAAGCAAAGATGTCACTTTCGGGACTAAGGTGCGCCTAACTTAAGATATGGTGCTTTCAATTGCCTCATATGCATGCAAAAGCTGGATAATGAATAAGGAAGACTGAAGAAGAACTGATGCATCTGAATTATTATGTTGGAGAACAAATCTGTGTTGGAAGAAGTACAGCTAATATGCTCTTTTGAAGCAAGGATGGCAAGACTTCATCTCACTACTTTGGACATGTTGTCAGGAGGGACCAGTCCCTGGAAAAGGACATCATGCTTGGTAAAGTACAGGGTCAGTGAAAAAGAGGAGGACCCTCAACAAGATGGAGTGACACAGTGGCTGCAACAATGGGCTCAAGCATAGCAAGGATTGTGAGGATGACGCAGGACTAGGCAGTGTTTCATTCTGTTGTACACGGGATGGTTATGCTTTGGAACTGACCGGATGGCACCTAACGACAATTTCATGAAAGCACGGTACTAAACTTCAGTTCACCAACTCTTGTTGAATAAAAGGCAAGTAGAAGAGAAGAACTGTACACCTTTGAATTGTGGGGTTGGTGAAGAATATTGAATATACCATGGACTGCCAGAAGAACGAACAGGTCTGTCTTGGAAGAAGTACAACCAGAATGCTCCTTAGAAGGGAGGATGGCGGGCCTTCATCTCACATGCTTTGGACATGTTATCAGGAGAGATCAGTCTCCGGAGAAGGACATCATGCCTGGTAAAGTACTGGGTCAGTGAAAAAGAGGAAGACCCTCAAGGAGATGGATTGACACCGTGGCTGCAACAATGGGCTCAAGCATAACAACGATTGTGAGAATGGCGCAGGACCAGGCAGTGTTTCGTTTTGTTGTTCATAGGGTCCCTGAGTCAGAACCCACTGGACGGCACCTAACAACAATGACAACAGAAGAGAAGAAGCTGAACTTTGGAGTTAGGTGTTCTGCCGCTTACCTATAAGAAGGGAATAATCACTCATTCCTTCAACAAATATACCTACCGTATACCAGACAATGGGTTAAGGCAAGAATTAAATAAAATAAGCACTATGAGGTGGTTAACAAAGGTCCTAACTAGGCGTTAAACAATTGTAACTACGAGCAGTAGAGGAAGTAGTAGTAGTAGTAGTAGTTGCCATCTTCCCATTTTGATCCTAACATGCACGATGCTACTATGAGTTGTTCACTTGCATTAGCCTAGTCCACTCTTTTTCTTCAATCTCTGTTCACCAAAAGATTCAGCACAAATGCCGTCTTCGCCACAAAACCTGACTCCAGAGCGCTTTGCTTCCATTTATCGATTTATTTTGCTTCCAACAGCTTATTCCTTAGAAGTTTCACAACGGCAAAAAAAAAGTTTGTTTGTTTAATGCTTATATTCCCTAGAAAACTTAGTCATGCCTTTCACATAGAAGATGCTCCATGATAATTAATGAGTAAATGAACAAAAGACTAGATGAAGAATTGATGTGAATATGCAAGTGAAAGGGGAAATGTTGCTCAAACCCTTGGGATTCATTTTGCATGAACTACAGGTATCAGAATGTGCAATTTAGGATCAAGAGATTGGAGTTCCATGTCCATACAGAATAGGGACTTTTGCTATTTGACCTTCACTGGATAATTTAGCATTTCTGTGTCTCCCCATTCATCAATCCACCAAATATTTATTAAACACTTTCTACGGAATTGACTTGAAGGCAGTGGGTTTGGTTTTTTTGGACTTACCAAACACTAAAACATTTAACGTTTTATATTAACCCTATCCCTCCTGGTGATAGATATTTCAAAAAAAATTAATTTTCTTTTTATCTGGACTCAGTTCTTCACACTGATTAGGTGAGTATTTGGTGCCTGCAAACCTGTTTCTGACAAATCATGTTATAATCTGGCCATTCTTTGGACAGTGTTCCCAGGGGGAAAAAGAACTGTAAGGGTGCTAATTAGATTAGCTACTAATTAAATTTGAAAAGGAGACGATGTAATGAAGTAGAATTGAATGTATTATACAAATTGCATCTTTCTGGAATATGAAGTGCTCATCCTTCTAAGAGATTAATGCGAGCGGCAGTATTTGCTCCGCCTCCTTTTGGGGTACTTTGGGCCCAGTCTGTCGGGAAAGTTGGTCGGCTTGGAGCAGCCTGATGGTATGACTGAGGTACTGTGTTTGCTCTAACTTGGACAGCTAAACTGAAGATGGACGGGAAAGGCGGGCCTCCCCCACGACCCTCGGGGCTGTGTGACGGCGGGAGGCCTGGTCGCCCAAAGGCCCAGTGTCCCCACTCTGAGGCCCCACCTCCCTGCCGGCCTGCCCGGAGCCTCGCCTCCTCCTCCTCTTCCATCCCCTCCATCCCCGGAGAGGCGAGACCCTCTTCCATCCCCATCTCCTCCCAGGCCCGCGTGAGGGTTCGGGGAGGGACCTCCAGAGCCAAGCCCCGCGGGCGGGCGGGCTCCGTGAATGCGTTCCACAGGCCTCACCCCTCGGGCTCCGGGGCAGGGCCGAAGCCAGGGTTCAGCTACTGACTCTCTGGGCAGCCCACGGGTCCCAGGTCGTGAATCTTGGGCCCTGACCAGCACAAGAAATGTTGGATATCAGTAAGGATGTAGAAAAATTGGAATCCTCCTCCATTGCTGGTGGGAATGCAAAATGGTACAGCCACTGTGGAAAACAGTTTGGCAGTTCCTCAAAAATTTAAACAGAACTGCCATTGTTATTAGGTGCCACTGAGTTGGTTCCAACTCATGGCAACCCTGTGCATTACAGAACGAAACACTGCCCGGTCCTGCGCCATCCTCACAGTTGTTGTTATGCTCGGTCCATTGTTGCAACCACTGTGTCAATACACCTCCTTGAGGATCTTCCTCTTGATCGCCAACCCTGTACTTTACCAAGCATGATGTCCTTCTCCAGGGACTGGCCCCTCCTGATAACATGCCCAAAGTATGTGAGACAAAGACTCACTGCCTTCACTTCTAAGAAGCATTCTGGCTGTACTTCTTCCAAGACAGATTTGTTCTTTCATCTGACAGTCCATGGTGTATTCAGTATTCTTCCCCAACACCACAATTCAAAGGCATCAATTCTTCTTTGGTCTTCCTTGTTCACTGTCCAGCTTTCGCATGCATATGAGGTGACTGAAGACACTATGGCTTGGCTCAGGGGCACCTTTGTCCTCAAAATGACATCTTTGCTTTTTCACACTTTAAAGAGGTCTTTTGCGGCAGGTCATTTGATTTCTTGACTGCTGCCTCCATGGGTATTGATTCTGGATCCAAGTAAAATGAAATCCTTGAAAACTTCAATATTTTCTCCATTTATCCTGATGTTGCTTATTGGTCCAGTTTTGAGGATTTTTGTTTTATGTTGATATATAATCCACACTGAAGGCTATAGTCTTTGATCTTTTTCAGTAAGTGCTGAACAGGGTGTGGAATATTTGGTATTTATAGTTCACAGAAATGCAACATCTGGAAATTGCAGGTTTAACATTGGTTTTATCATATTTGGGGTAAACTAAACCACTCATTTTCAAATTAAAGAAAAACAAAAAATCTGTGCCAATAAAACTCTTTTCTCTGGGTAAGCTGAGTTTCCTTTTTCTTAGAATTTGTGAATTGATACTGCAGTTGTACTTTTTATTTCAGGTCACTACATTAGCTATTAGAGAGTTCATTGTAAATATTTTTACATTTTAGTAGGTACTTCTTTTTAACATAGAAAAATGCTTATAATGATTAATTTTTTAAATTCAAGCTATAAAGTCACATGATTACAAACCAAATAAACTATACAAAGGAAACCTGGAAAGAAAGAAATAATAAAGTAAAATAATTTTTTCTTAAAATATTGAGCCCTCATTCTCTGTTTCTCTTCCTTTTATTTGCAGATGCTGTAGTTTCTAATGCACAAGTGTGTGGAGTGGTGGGCCAGCCTGTCACACTCCCCTGCACGTACTCAGGAACACTCGTACCCATGTGTTGGGGCCGAGGGACTTGTTCTCTTCTTGGGTGCAGAGATTTAATTGTCCATACTAATAGATCCCACGTCACCTTTCAGAAGGACTACCGTTATAAGCTAAAGGGGTCCCTTTTGGCAAGGAATGTTTCTTTGACTATAGAGAATGCAGTCAAGACAGACAGTGGCCTGTACTGTTGCCGTATTGAGTACTGGGGTTTGGGAAATGATAAGAAACTCACCATAGCATTGGAGATTAAAGGAGGTGAGTTGAGTCTTCTTTCTTCTTTGGTCATTTCATGAGGATGAACTGAGATGCAGGTTTTCTATTTGGTAATAATTTTCTCTTTTCCTTTAATAGAAAAAAAGGAGGTCCTACCTTCCTGTTTTTTAATAACTGTTGCTCTTGGGAAGTAGGCAAGCTTTTATGTGTGTAGATGAAGTGCTAACTCCAACTTTGATTCAAAGCCATAGGCTAGTTTTTTGCAGTCAGCAGACTATCTCCTGAAACACTGCTTCAAAATGTTAGTTGGTCCATGAAAAAGCATTCACTGTTCCATAGTGAAAGCTAGTGAATGCGGGTACTTCTTCCTGTAATAAGTTTTCTGGTTGACCTAATGTAATTTCAACATCCTTTTCTATTTTGCACGCTGTGCATAGATTAACTCTTCCAGTATCTTGCCCTGGAAGCCAATGTTGACAGCCTCTTAGAAAGAATAACAACAGCTGAATGAGTGACCTGCTAGGGAGAGAACAAAGACCGTTCTCTTCTTTTTTATTTGAAAGGAGATAAAAGGAGTTAAATCTAAGAAATTTGGTCTTCCCTGAGTGAAAGAGGAGTAATAATTTCCTCTTAACACAGCAAATTCATTCATTTTTCTCTTTTATAAACATAAAGTACACACCAACACCTGACTTGATAAATGCACTGTACTGATTTCTCATCAACTGCCTAGCCTTACAGGGACACCAGTGGTGAGACCTGTTGCTGACAAAAAGATATTAGTTTGAAATGTGGTTAGTACGCAGGGTGATTGACAAATCAGATAATGATCCAGGCAAAGGTGTAACAAGCACATGGATGAGACTCCTGGGTGATGGTCAGAAGCAAGAGGTAATTCTTAAGTGTCTGGATATTTCATAACTGTTAAGAAGGAAATAAAGTGAATGAAATAACTTGTGGGGTTTACGTCTAACTCTGCAATAATGGAAAGACAGTATGGGGCTGCATTGCTATGCCCTTGTGCTGAAACTGCTCATGATAAAAGTAACAATGGCTGGCAAATTCTTGAAATGAAACATTTATCTGTCCATGTGATAAATCCTTCATTTTACTCTGGTAAACTTAAGTAGCATAAAAATCACTGGAAGGACACTGGGCAGCTTAAAGAATTGAAAAATTGAAATAATCAGGCCTTGGAAAGGGATAGCAACCAGCATTATTCCCAGGATGTAAAGATCAGGAACTACTGGAATGACCCTCTAAGGTGCTGATATTGCAATAGATTGACTCCACGTGTTCTCCTTCTTTGTATCAATATTCAGTTTCCCAGGAGAGAGAATCTGATTGGCATTTCTTGAGTCAGGAAGTCATACAACTTAAGAGAAGGTGGAGCAAACACCATAAAATTCCTAGTTGATGTTCTTATCCAGCCCAGATGAAACAGACTGGAGCTTGTTCTGCAAAGAAAAAAGCTGAGTCCCTCTCTAAAAGAAGGAAGAAGGGTGGGATGCTGGGAAGTCCAAGTCACAGATGTCCACTACAATGTCCATGGCTGGACATCTTCCAGATCATGAATGCTACCTTCCACTCATGCATTTAATGAAGAAATTAAAGTGTAGTAAAAATTATTTTCAAGCTAGAGAAACCAGTTTAAGCAGTTCTTTGTCCAGTGGATTGAGATGTAAATTATGGATTTTCAGTGATGTGCAATTGTAATTGTGAGGCACTGGGATCAGCACTTGGAATAAAAGGAAATAGGATACAGGCTGTACCTTTGAGGGAATTATAATACAATGCAGAAGAAAAACATTTAAAAAAGAATACTTGAAGGAACATGGAAGTTCAATCACAGAATTTTGGAGAAGTTGAAATCAGAGCAAAGAGATCAAAGGACCTAATTCTGTCTGGAGAAATAAGAGAAGGTTTCACAGAGGAAGTGATGCCGAAGTTGTGGCCTGGGTGGCTGATCAGTTACCCATTCCAGGGCCTTCTAAAGGACAGAAACAGCATGTGCAAAAACACACAAGGCAATGTCACAGACATGATGTATGTCGGTGACATTCAGGAGATGCTTACGAATAGTTTAAAGTGTCTGGAGCACAGCCTTTATCAGACAACACTTTGCTCCATTTACTAGGGATCACTGAAGTTGTCAAGGCCACATTTTTTTCCAAATATAATGGAACAGTGTCCAGTTCGTATGATAAAAACTTTTAACACATTAATTCCAATAAGAGCCTCTTTATTCACTAACATTCACATGGCTTAAGGAAAAAGAACTTGCATAACACCTGAAATAGATGAGTTGTTGGATTGTTTTTTGTTTTTGTGTTTTTTAATGACCAACTCTTCAATGTATTGAGAAAATATTGAAATTGTCAAGGATTTCATTTTACTTGGATCCACAATCAATGCCCATGAAAGCAGCAGTCAAAAAATCAAACAACTTATTGCACTGAGCAAATGTGCTGCAAAAGACCTCTTTAAAATCTTAAACAGCAAAGATGTCATTTTGAGGACTAAGGTGCTCCTGACTCAAGCCAAACTACTATGAGTCGGAATCAACTCGACAGCCACGGGTTTGAGGTTTTTTTTTTTGGTCATATGCATTTGACGGGGACAATGAACAAGGAAGACCGGAGAAGGATTGATGCCTTTGAATTATGGTGTTGGTGAAGAATATTAAATATACCATGGACTGCCAAAAGAATGAACAAATACGTCTTGGAAGAAGTACAGCCAGAATGCTCCTTAGGAGCAAGGATTGTGAGACTGTGTCTCACATACTTTGGACATGTGTAATCAGGAGGGACTGGTCTCTGGAGAAGGACATCATGCTTGGCAAAGTAGACGGCCAGCGAAAAAGAGAAAGATCCTCAATGAGATGGACTGACACAGTGGCTACAACAATAGGCTCAATCATAACAACAATTGTGAGGATGGCACAGGACCAGGCAGTGTTTCATTCTGTTGTACATAGGGTAGCTGTGAGTCTGAACTGACTCAATGGCACCTAACAAAAACAACAAAGTTGAAGAGCTTTTTCATCTTCTTGAATACCATAACAGATTTAGTGAAGCAATCTAATCATGTTCATTTGAAAACCAAAATTACAAGAAATACTTTTAGGAGTCCTCCGGTTAGAAAATCAGTAACATCAGATAACAACCTAAGACTAGAACACAGGACAGAGCAACCAGACATCAACTCAGATAGGGAAGTCACAAAAATAAATCAAAGCTAAAACGCTGAAAACAGGGAAACGGAGACGTCAATATGTAAAAGATAAAAACATTAAAACAAAAAAGAGGAACTAAAAAATGTAGACATAGATTTTTCATATGGAGAGGAAGTCAAAGCGATATAAAGAAATAAAAGACGGGTTTAAAGTTAGAAAAATAGGGGTAAATATTAAAGTAACCACAAAGGAAACTACAATCCTACACATCAAAATAAAAAATAAGAAAAATATAAAGACTCAGCAAATACAAAATCAACGACAGTGAAAAAGATGAAAAGAAAATACATTTAAAAAAACAACTCAGCAAAGAAAATAAAGTGGAACAAAAAACCTGTCAACAACACACAAAAAAAGACATCAGAATGACAGCACTAAACTCATACCTATCAATAATTATGCTGAATGTAAATGGACTAAATGCACCAACAGAGAGACAGAGAGTGGTAGAATGGATAAAAAACACAATCCGTGTATATGCTGCCTATGAGAGACACACCTTAGACTTAAAGACACAAACAAAAAAAAACTCAAAGGACGGAAAAAAATACATCAAGCAAGAAACACTCAAAAAACAGCAGGATGATGAATCTGTGAAGCATCTCATAACATGGATGAAACTGGAGGACATTATGCTGAGTGAAATAAGTCAATCACAAAAGGACAAATATTG